TGAGAGTAGATGGCCAGAAACCTCTCGTAGGTGTAGGGTCGCGGCTCGCCATGGGCATCAAAGGTGCCGACGCCAGTTCCGCGCAGCATGCCTTGAAGGTGCTGTGAGGGGGGACCGATGAGGGGATGCTCAGGCGTGCCGAAAATGCCGTGGGTAGTAACTTCAAGCTCGAGCTGCGACATCCCTTCCTCTGGGGGCGCGTGGCGCTCTGCTTCAGCGATGGCGGCGAGTCCGCGGCCGGCAATCGCGCTCGTTGATGTCGTCGGCGTGTAACAATCCCTGCAGATGCCATCTGGATCGGGGTTGTGTAACGCCGTTTCGCGTGGGTGGGGATGATGCGGCACCCACGGTCTACCGTCAGGGTGCTTCCAATCCCTGCGGTGGATGTGCTCGAACCGTAGTGGCACGAGATCAATCAACTCGTGCGAGTCGCCGCTGCAGTCGGGAATGTCGAAATCTAGGACATACACTCCATTTTCGGAGTGCGCTCGTCCGATCTGCCTGCGGGGAAATTTGCGCGATTCGTAGTGCAGCAGGATGTCTCGCGTCGCGCGATCCGTGCTGAGGTCGACGCCGCAGTCCATGAGCTGTGCGGCGGACAGGAGGTTGAAGCGCAGGTTCTGGACGATCAGCACATCGTTAAGCGTGATGTGCATGCGGCTTCCACGTGCTTTGAGCATGACAAGGCCTTGTGCGCTTGCGCGCAGGCGCGTGTTGTTCGCCACAGTGACGTACGTGACTGTAGGGGTGGGGACGGCGTTGGATATGTAACGCTCGGAGCCCACCATATGCTGGCCGCAGCAGCTGTCCAGGTACCAGGTGTTGTAACGCTTGTTGTCGTCACGTGCGAGCAGCGCCAATCGCGGTGTGACGGTGTGCGGGGTGTCGAACTTCGGAAATTGCTCGTGCGAGAGCCAATTAAGTGGCGCCACCCGCATGTCTGGTATGTGCGGGGGACTTTCAAGCAGCGGGACTGGGAGGTTCCAGTCCTGGTCGTCGTCGTCGTTGAAGTCGCGGCGCGGGCAGAACGGGTTGTTGTTGGTGAACGTGCCGATGGGGTGCGGTGCTGGCTCAGGTGAGGGTGAGCGAACACGGCGACGACGTGACTCGCCTGTCATGGCCATGTTGGTCATGACGTTGCGCGTAGGGGCAGTTGATGGCTGCTGCTGCTGATGCTGAACGGTTGAGTTCAGATTGCGCGCGGGTGGGGGTTGATACCCTTGGGCTGGACGCACGTCGCCTCGTGCGTCTTGTCGGCCGGACCAGTTGCTCGGATTGGTCTGGCGAGGGCGAGATCGGAACTTACATCGATCCGCCAAATGCCCGAAGTTTCTGCAGATTTTGCAGTAGAGGCGCTGCGGTCGTCGCTCTTCATTGTTGTCGGCGTAGAAGGCGAGCCGTTCGCGTTCTCGTCGTGGCGCTGGTCGCTGCTGATCCATATCCCGTTGTTCGACGAGAAGGGCGGCGCAAAGGGCGGCCTCCGAGATGACCCCCTGCTATCGGAGGAGCGCCTTGCAGGGCCGCCACTCTGGGCCAAGCCCTTGAAGCACAATGTTCACGAATATTTCATTGGAAATCGAGCTTCCCAACTTCACGATTTGATCGCGAAGGCTCCAACAGCGGTTGATGTAGCTGTTGACCTTCTCCCCTGAGGTCATCTTAGTTTCCAGCAGTTGCTGGAGTAGTCGGCTCGAGGAGACGGAGTCCTTGGGCTGATACACGCCGTTCAGGTGGCGCCAAGCGTCGAGGGCTGGGGCAGCCGATGTCTTGTATGAACGAATGTTCACCTGCTCCGCCGGCGACATGTTACGCAGAAGAATCCCGTACGCCATCAGGGACTCGTTATAATAGCGAGTCCTTGCGTCGTCGGTGTCCTCAGCAGGTCCCGAGTAGCTCCCGTCGAAATAATGATAAATCTGCGCGTTTTGCAGCAGCAGCTCCAGCTCGAAGCTCCAGGTGTAAAAGTCTCTGCCGTCAAAGCACACACTTGTCTTTATTTTTGATATGCTCAAAAACCTTGATTGCGCGGAGAGAATTGCTTCATCGCTGGGACAGGGAGTCTTGGGGGTTGAGCCATTCGTATCTAGGGAGAAGCCTTGCGGGGCGGAGTTTTGGCCGTTTGAGGCCGGTTGAGTGGGTTGGGAAGAAGTTCCCGCATCGCCATTCCGCAATGTCTGGAGCCCTTGCTCCAGGCTCGTGAGTCGCTGAAGCAGTTGTGCAAGGACAGCGTAAGGAATCGTCGTCGTTTCCTCGTTTGTCGCAGCCGGGTTGGGCTGCGCTTCAGCCGTCAGATTTGTCTGACCTCCAGATCCTCCGGCTTTTCTTACACGTGATCGTGTGTCGGGACGCCACTTTCCGAATGTCGCAGATTTCGGAGATGGCGGTGCGAAGGATTCCTGAGTCGCTCTCATACCATGCTGCGATCAGAAGTTGATCGTGGCCTAGGATCTACTCAGGAAGGTTCGCACGCAGAGAAGTGATGTTGGTGGGCCCTTCACCTCAATAGCAGAGGGAATGTAAAATGCTTTGAGATAATTTAAAACATGCAAATACAGCAAATATAAATATGAGTACAGGGGAGATGAAACGACCTAGCTAGCCATGTACTCTAAGGGGTACAATCCCTTATTCAAATACATTCCCAACCGTGCGGCGCGAACAGTTACGAAACTGTTCCCGCCGAAACCATCCTGCATGCAGCTGCCTGATGCTGCCTGCTCCGACGGTCCAGATGCGTCCCAACTGTCTGACGCTTCGAGTCGATTCCAACCATCTGACGCTTCGCGTTCATTCGCGATACTGCGTGCTTCTCTTTGCTGCGGTGAGGAGTGCACAGTAATATTCAAGTATTACTATTCGTAACACCTCCCTTCACTCAACAAATACAGCGCGACAACAAGTACAAACAACTGACTCGATATTGAGCAGTTGCCCGAGTCGTCACTGTATCGAACCGCAACAGGAACAGTAAAGCAGTTATTGCATCCTTTCATATTCCTTGTAATCTTATAAAAGCTTGTATTACTTCTTTATAATCAATCTATATTGCCCTCACATACCAGCACAAGGTGGTTCGATAGTTTGTCATTAAACGCTTCCGCAATACAACATTTCTCTCAGAGTTTTAGCCTTGAAAGATCCTAAGGGCTTTTCTCAGCCCAACAAACATGTGCATTCCTTAGTCACAGCACGAGCATTTAGTGCACAATTAGATCAGGCGTCCCATTACTACCAATAGCCCTTTACATTGAAGAAGCAGATCAAAACTGAAACTGGATGAGATGGAAGTCACTTGAATGACTCAGTCACAAATTAAAACAACGTAGACACAACCTACCTAACTCTGATAAGGTGTACGTACCCTTCATTGAGGAAAAAAATAAACACAAGAAAAAGGGAGTTATTTCCTCATGATAAAACAGCACTCTCCAAGCACTTGTGCTCCCCCTTTCATCTCATGGCGCTGCGCAGGAAAATGGGGCGGATTTGGCGCTGGTGCAGATTTTTTCGGCACATGGGGCACTGCCTGGTCTCTCTGATAGCCATAGTGATGCAGTCTCGGCAGAACACATGCCCACATGGCGTCACCGTCTCCTCACTCATATCATCCAGGCACACAGAGCACATCAAATACATTCCCCCCCCTGCTCTCCCTCCCCTTTCCATGCCACCATTATCCCCCTCACCTACTGCTGCTCCAACGACCGATGCCTCTGGCTCCTCCACCCTTCTCCTTCCACTTCCACCTACCCCACTTCCTCCTCGTAACGCACCCCCCTGCACCGAAACCGGAACCCTCATCATCCCGCGACGTGTGGCCGGACTCACAGCAGCCAATCTCACGGCAGCTGGATCCATGGCTGCAGCACCACCTGTGCTAGTGCTACTCCAATGCCGCTGCCTCCTTGCACCTGCTGCACTGTCTACCCCATGGCTTCTGTGCCTGGCAACAGCACCCTGATACTCTCTGGAAGTACCACCACGCACTAGCAACACTTCAGGTGAATATGCCACTTGTTCTGCTACCCCTCCCCCTCCCTCTGCCCCTACATCTTCTTCCAGGTCAACCACCTGCCTCTGCCTCTGTCTCTGCACCCGATCATTATGCCGTTGCTCATTCTCACCCCAGGTGGCAGCAATCCGTGCTTCACCACTTACCCGCACGGGTGCCCTTGTCTCGCGGGTGCGACTGGCGACTCTCCGCTCATGCTGAGCCCTTGCCTCATGGCCAGCCCGTGCCTCATGGCCTGTGTGCCTGACCGGTGGCGAGACGATTTGACAGTCATCATCATCATCTACAACTAGCACTGTGATGGCAACCCCTTCCCTCCCTTCCACACCAACAGTAGCAGCAGCAGCTGCAGCACCCACAACTGCTTCCCCTGCACCTGCATCAGCGATGCTAGCCCCAGATTGAGCACCCTCCGGCTGCTGTGCAATCTCCCTGCTCCTTGTGTGACTTTCGAAATAATGTGCGGCAGCAGCGGTAGCGGCAGCGGCAGCAGCAGCAGCAGCAGCAGCAGCAGCAGAGGGAGCAGAAGCAGCAGCAGAAGTGGAGCGGAGGTGGCGAGGGGCATGACTGGCTGCTGCAATGGCTTGGGGAGTGGGCAAGGTGACAGCACAGGTGCGTACCAACAAGAAGGAATGCATGTTCAGGCGAAGAAGAAGAAGAAGAGGGATTTCAGGCGAAGAAGAAGAAGAGGGATCAGAAGGTGACAGGCAGAAAGATGATGGAAAGAATGGCATGGATGGAAAAACGACATCTGAGGGCGGTGGAATGGAGGATGTGCGAGTGCCAGCGTTGGCAGAACTGGTAGAAGTTACTGACAACTGTCCGTCCCATCCCATGTAGGAGAAAAATGCCTCCACTGCACCTCATCATCACATAACCTACTCAACCACTCACTCAAGTCAATCCTCACACTCAGACCCTCACAATCGGCCCTCGCACTCAAATCTCACCCTCAACCCTCACACACAACAACCCTCACACTCCGCCCTCACAGCATACCAGCTGCCTGCCGCGTGACTCGGCGAGCCTGCGCATGAGTGCTGGAAGCATTTGCACGCGAGGAGGAGGAGGAGCGCGCAGGCATGAAGAACTGGCGCACACCCGTACCACCACCACCACCACCACCACCACCACCACCACTCTGACCTGCACCCGTTGGTGCTCCCCCCCTCGTGCTCCTGCGCCTGCCGTCGCTCCGCACCTGCTTGCATGAATGCGCCAAGCATGAGTTGACAAGAAAGCCAGGTTTGTGGAAGTGTGCAGGCATGAAGTAACGCTGGAGCCACACCACACCACACCACACCACTGTGTTCTGCCTGTGTCAACAGTTCTGCACGAAGTAACAGCAACATTACCCTCGTGATCCTTTGCCTTCCGCCTCCCTGCCTGCGCCTGCTTGCATGGACGAGAAAAGAAAAGCATGATGTTTTTGCCAAGGGTTGGTTGGAGCAGCAGCGGGTGAAAGGGAGGATGAGGGCGCAGGACTGGTGTAAGCGGATGGCGTGAAAGTGGTGGTGCAGGGAGAGTGGGTATTTAAGAATTCACAAAAATCACCTCTTGCTGGCGATGGGGGTAGCACCAACGCCAGGGAAAGAGGGATGGGCGACGGGTGAAGAGAGAAGGGCGGCGCTTGAAGCGCGAAGGGAGACAGGGAACGCGTGACAGGGAAGGGGCGGACGACGGGTGAAGACAGAACGGCAACGGGCGAAGAGGAAGGGCGAGCAGCAAGGAGGGAAGGGCGGGAGGGCAGCATACTCTCATTGCCATGCAGAAGCCAAAGTGCAGAGAGCGTACAGCATCGGGAGAGAGAACGAGCACATCGTCGTCGTCCTCCCCACTTAGATCAATCGTCTCGCGCATTCTCCCGTTGTCATCAGCCCTCTGCTCCGCATCCCCCCGTTGCCCTGCACTCCTCCCCCGCTGCTCCCCGCTCCCCTCTTGCTCCCCACTCGCACGTTGCTCCTCCGTCCGCAGCTCTTGATCCGCCGATCCATCATCACCTGACGCTTCTTCCCATGCTCCCCGCTCTGCTTCTCCCGAACCAACTTCCCCAGCTCCATAGCATGCTGCCATTGTTGCTTCGCCTGCAGACGCTGCACGCGCACTTTCTGCTCCATCACTTAACTCCGCCGTCTGTGCATCTGTTTCCTCCATATCCACTCCCGCGCTCACCACTTCTTCTGCCCGGATGCCCACCTCCCCTTCCTCTCCTGACGCTCCCATCTCCCCTTCCTCTCCTTCCTCCCCTTCCTCACCTGCTTCCCCTTCCTCTCCTTCCTCCCCTTCCTCTCCTTCCTCCATTTCTTCCCCTTTCTCAACTGCCTCTTCTTCCTCTACTTCCTCTGCATCCTCTCCATCCTCCATTTCCTCCCCTTCCTCGCGTCCCTCCCCTTCCTCTCCTTCCTCCCCTTCCTCTCCTTCCTCCCCTTCCTCTCCTTCCTCCCCTTCCTCTCCTTCCTTCCCTTCCTCTCCTTCCTTTCCTTCCTCTCCTGCATCCCCTTCCTCCCCTTCCTCTCCTTCCTCCCCTTCCTCTCCTTCCTCCCCTTCCTCTCCTTCCTCCCCTTCCTCCATTGCCACTCCTTCCTCCCGTTCAACACTTTCCGGTACCGCCGCTCTTGCCCCTTCCCCCTCTCCCCCCTCTCCCGCCTCTCCCGCCTCTCCATCCACTTCACCGGACTCTCGCTCGTCACTGGGACCAGCAAACCCGCCTTCCTTTCCTCTCGTTGACCTTCCATCGGATCTGAGTGAAAAATCCTGTTTGGAAAAATCGTTCAGATTCATTCCATTCGTTGCCGCGCCTTGGACAGACCAATCCGAACCTTCAGCTCCCAGATGCTGCCGATGCAGTATCCAAGCTCCGCTCGATTCCGCCGCTGCCGGATCGTCCAGAGCAACAGCAAGCGTTTCCAAAAAATTTGCAGCTCCTACTGCTTCAACCGTTTCTGCAGGTTCTGATGCTCCTGCTGTTTCTGCTGCTCCTGCTGTTTCCGCTGCTCTTGCTGTTTCTGCTGCTCCTGCTTTATCCGCTGCTCCTGCTGTTTCTACTGCTGCTGCCGTTTCTGCCGCTCCGCCTGTTTCTGCTGCTCCTGATATTTCTGCTGCTACAAGTGCTTCTGCTGCTGCTGCTGTTTCTGCTGCTCCTGCTGTGTCCGCTTCTCCTGCACTTTCTGTTGCATCAGCTGCTCCTCCCGTTTCTGCAGTAGGTTCCGATTTTCCCGCAAACCGAATCTGCTCATTGCGAGCACGGGGCGAGGAAGATGTGTCATCGGGCAGCTCAAACTGATCGGAACAGACAAACCGACCGTGATTTCTCTTTCTGGAAACTCCAGCCACGACGGGAGAGCGATCACAGCCGTCGATCTCATTCGCGCCTGGCACATCCGCCAATGGCACTGAGGCGATCGTGGATTGTTGCGGAGCCGGGATGGCAACAGGCCACGGATCTTGACCGTCGGATCTTGGATAGTGGGTTGAATCATTGGCGGTCGCTTCAGCAGGTGATTCGATAGCAGCCGGGGGACTGGCAGGGAAAGGGAACGAGTAATTGATAGTGGTGTTGGCGGTGCAGTCACCGTTAAGTTTCTTCAGTCGCTTCAACGAGTGCTGTGACCGAGCGTCGTCGCGGAGTGAGCACAGTTCGGCTTCGAGATTCGACGACGCCATTGAGAGATGCGATAGGAAATTATGGAGCAGGAAACATGAGGAAAGAGTTTCCAGAGACGGAACTTAGTGTTGTGACCTCATCCTACCACTATTCGGAGTTCACGAGTGCCAAGAACCTGAGGACGCAGAAGAAACTATGGGTTCGGGAATGGATGTGAGCCCTAGAAAAGTCCAGGAATGCATATCTCCAAAGCGAGGAGGCTTTCCGTTACACCGCTTCGCGATACCAGTTTCCGCTAAGATGTCGGTGTACATTAGAGTTGAAAAAAACAGAACTGGTCAAAACATACAGATCGCACATAGGATGTTTCTTTTTGTGTGTTTTTTTTTTTTTATCAGATCCAACCATTCAACATCTTCTGCGTTCAGAAAAGGTTTTGATTTGTATAATTGTGCGTACATCTTGTTGGTACATCTTCGGGGGCACAAACAAAGTAGACACGTAAGTTAGTCGAGATATCTAATAATTCCATCAGAATATCACCCTTTCATACGCTGCGGTGTGAGAAATAAAGACCTTGCTGTGGCAGCCTGAGACACGGGAGGCACGGATAGCGGATGACAGAAACGTTAATGCACCTCTACAATTAAGGCAAGCATTTGTTTTTGTTCGGACAAGACGTGCAAACCATCACGTGTGAAAACGGGGGAGATTAAAGGGTGTTACAATCCCAAGTGGGACTTAGCGAAGGATTGTTCAGGGTTGATCGCAGAGTAGTATTGCAGCGGAAGTATTGAACTCAGGTCAGAGTGAATGTAAATGACTGAGATGATAAAAATATGCATACATCGGGTTTATATAAGAAAACAATGAGAAAATGAACGAGAATGAATTGACTAAGGGAAAGTTGGGTACAAGTACAAACCCTAGAAAGTAGTACCCCGTATGTGCTACACCACTATAGCCTACAACAGCTATGTCATATAAATCTGACACACCCCCATAGGCAAAGTGGGGGAGAACAAGGGGTCACAAGACCAGTCAAGCAAAGCAAAACAAGCTCACGGTGGATCACAAAGTCCCCACACATTCCGAGCACAAGTTCAAGGCCACAAGGCCAGTTCACATGCAGGATTACATATATATATAAGGCTAGACAAGCAAGAGCAGGTGTGTATATATATATATATATATACATATGTAACAGTACAAACAAGGTCAAGTGGTGAGCAAGTGAGGCAAGGCAGGCACAAGACCCAGCTGAGTACAGAAGCGCTGATGATCACAAGGCGCAAGCGCCTTGGTGAAGATATCAGCAGTGTTGGCCTCAGAGGCCACGTACGCAAGGCGCAGCTGACCACGCTGCTGTAGCTCACGAGCAAGGAAGTAGCGAAGAGGAATGTGCTTCGTTCTGTGCTCCAGTCTTTGATCCCGACACAAGGCCAACATGGCCTTGTTGTCTACGTACAGCACTGGAGGAGAACGAGGCGGCTCTCCGAGGTCAGTCAGTAGGTAGGTGAGCAAGCGAAGCTCCTGTGGAGCCATGGCTCCTGCGTAGATCTCACCCTCACAACTAAAGCTGAGAACAGAAGACGAGCGGGTAGCCCGCCACGAAACAGAGCCGGAACCAAGGCTGAAGGTGTAACCCTGTGACGACCGCTGCGTAGCCTGGTCGTCAGCCCAAGAAGCGTCTGCGTGCCCAATGAGGACCACTGGAATCTGCCCTCCAAGCACAAGCCCCATGCCCGACGTACTGCACAAGTAGCGCAACACCCTCTTCGCTGCAGCCATGTGCTCTGGTCTGTGTCTCCCAGGAGCAACATAGCGTGCTAAGATGCTAAGAGGGTATGCAAGGTCAGGTCGTGTGCAGGTCATCAGGTACATGAGGCAGCCAACAAGCTCTGGGTACGGGCCACTCGGCTCTACGGACTCATCCGAAGGCAGAGCTGAGAGCGAGTGGCGAGTAGGCAGAGGAGTGGCCTGAGGCGAGGAGTACGTGAAGCCGAAGCGCTGAAGGACCTGCTGCACCATGTGTGACTGAGTCCAGGTAATGGTGCGGCGTGCTCTGCCCCGGGTGATCTGCAGGCCAAGATAGCTGCGCAGTTCATCCAGGTCTGTGCACGTGTGTCTCTTCTGCAGCTCGGACTTCACGTGGGCGAGTCCAGCAGTGTCAGCTGTGGCAAAGACCAAGTCGTCGACGTACACGAGGATGTAGAACGGCGGCAAAGAGGTGTCGGTGCGCAGAAACAGCGACGGGTCGGCAGTAGAGGGAGCAAACCCAAGAGCCGCAAGTGTAGTCCTCAGTGTGTGTCGTGCCACTCACGTGGTGCCTAGCGGAGACCGTAGACTGGCCGCTGGAGGCTCCACTGGGTGCCAGGAGGAAAAAGACCCAGTGAAGCCAGGTGGGCGACGTAGCCAGATCTCCTCGTGCAGGCTGACCTGCAAGAAAGCAGTACTGAAGTTAGGAGAGTGCAGCTCGTAGTCACGGTGAGCAGCTATGTGCAGCAGTACCCGAAGAGTGGTCATCTTCGGGGTGGGAGAGAAGGTCTGAAAGTAGTCAACTCCCTGCCGCTGACTGAAGCCACGAGCCACGTAACACGCCTTGAAGACAGGCAGAGAACCCGGCGGTCGCTTCACCCTGAAAATCCACATGCCACTGACGATGTTCGCCCCAGGCGGGGGAACCTCGTCAACGTAGGTGCCTGTGGACTTCCAGGAAGCCATCTCTGTGTCCATAGCTGCCTGCCACTAAGAGGAGTAGGGACCCTCTATCGCCTCCGCGTAAGAGCGCGGAGTTCGGATGTCAAGTGCATCCGGGTCTCCCTCAGGGGTAAGCAGTACGGACACGAGATGAGGTGAAGCATTAGCCAAACACTGGAACTCCTCCTGCCTGTCCTCAAGGACGTCCGTGCCAAGGGCACACTCACCCCCGACGGACGGAGGACAGACAGACTCAGACTCAGCGACAAGACTAGCACCGTAGTATAGACGACAGCGAGCAGCAAAGTCGACGAGCTCAACAACTAGGGCAGACGCAGCAGTGGACTCAAAGGAAGGGTCAGTGACAACAGTAGCAAGGAGACGCGTAACAGTAGGACTGGCAGCACGAAGAGAGTCCGACTCCGGGTCGGCAAGAGCAGGAAGAGAGGACTCAGGAGGAGAAGGCAAAGGGGCACGCAGAGGAGTAGTGGACGGACGTAGAGACATCCGGTGCGTGCCAGGGACAGGAGGAGGGCGCTGACGCGAACCACGACCACTAGTGCGAGCAGGACGGACAGGCGACGCAGGGCGAGACGCAGGCTCACGACGCTCAGCAAGACCTCCAGTAGGACCAGTGTAGGGAGAAGGAGAAGGCAGGGGGGAGGCCGGCTGTAACTGTAACTGTGACGGGACAGGTTGGGGACACTCTAAGGGAGGAGGAGGACCAGTAGAAGGCGGAAGACCAAGAACCTACTGAAGGAGCGGAACGAAGTACGGCCAAGGCCGCGCGGCAACTCCAGACACAGCCAGGACAGCACCAGTACCCCCAGTGGTAGCACCAGTGCCAGCAGCACCTCCAGCTCCAGCACCCCCAGCAGCTCCAGTAGCCTCAGGACCTCCAGAAGCACCACTAGCACCTCTAGTAGGACCGCCCACAGGACCGACAGCAGTAGCCTCAGCGCCAACACCCTCAGCAGCTCCAGCTCCAGTCGTACCTGCAGGCCAAGCAGCTCCAGTACTCCCAGTACAAGCACCTCCGGGACCCGCGACACCAGCACCCTCAGTAGCCGAAGAACCTCCAGCTCCGGCAGCACGCCTCCAACGCCGGGCAAACCACTCGCGCAGCTCCTGTGGAGAGAGTGGCTCCCGCCGAGACGAAGCACCCGGAGAACCTCCAGGCATAGTACTGCCAGACGCGACACGAGCAGGCCCAGCTCCCTTAGGCTCCGCACCCCCAAGCTCAGCACCTCCAGGCGTAGAACCCCCAGACGCAGCACCCCCGGTCGTAGCACCCCCAAACTCAGCACCCCCAGGCTCAGCACCCCCAGGCTCAGCACCCCCAGTAGTAGCACTCTCAGGCTCAGCACCCCCAGGTGTAGCACCCACACGCTCAGCACCCTCAGAGTGAGCACCCCCAGGCTCAGCACTCTCAGCAGCACCAGAGTGACCAGGAACCTCGACAGGCTCGACTGCGTCT